TAGCATAGCTGGCTGGAGCATTCTGGGAGTTGAAGTCCACAAGTCTTAAAGTTGCCAAGTTTGGAGACCTCTGCTTTAGATCTAAACACAAGTATCAAGTATCATAATCAAAACACATCGGGTGCTATCTATAGCACTTCTTCAACTTTTATTAAGTTATTAAAATATGACAAACGTTGAAAAAAAACCTACTCGTTAATACACAAAAAGGTAACAATTTATAAAAACAAGGAGCCTTGGCAGTCAGCGTTCTGTACAAAATACTGTTAAATCAAAGAGCAACATCGTTCTTCTGCCTCTGAGACTCTCGAGTGTCTCAACACACCCAATACAAACAAGCTGAAAAGTAAGAACTCTCAATTTACACTTATTGCTTCGTACACAGAGTGACCTTTAAACTTTGCTGCAGCAGTTAACACCTTAAGTGAGGGCTAAACTCCTATTTAGCATCGGCAGTTATATACATTCATACATATAGATACATGTGCACATGTACACATACATATGTACACACATATATACATATATATTTATAAACACACACACACATTCACATACACCCACAGATGCTGGATTTTATACATATATAATCTCAGTGTTATATTTGGTCCAAATATCTGTATGGATTAAAAACTGTTTATAAGCACTTGTGATTAGCAAGACATACCTTGAGCCTGGTGAGGGAATGCAACCCCTCAGATACTCTTGGTAACTAATAAAATCAAGAAACACATCCTAGGGGCCTCCAACCAAAACCATCTTTAGTCAGTGAAAACATGACTCTGAATGCTTAATTCCATAAGCTATTTAAAAAGCCATTGTGGCTACTGACACTTGGTTTGGGAAAAGCAAGTTTTACAAAACTAGTCCGCTACTTGAGGGTTTTTTGTGGCTGTGACTCATGGGTAAATTAAGACACTGGGCAAGTTGGAATCTACAAGCCAACGGAATTCTCAACGTTAAGTGGTAAGGATACACACTTTTTAATTGATCCTGGATGGCCGCAGGTATAAACTGTGGGTTGTCTGAGTAAGATTGATCACAAATAGCCCAGGATGAATTTTCAGAAGATGACACCGAAAAGGCACCACACAGACAATAAGATTTCTTGAAAGGAAAAAACAACCACCACCACTTATAGAAGCACCAACAAGATAGCTAAGGAAGTTTTGCCTAATTATATTTGACAGCTAGCAGTGGACACAAATATTGATATGAAAACTGTCACTTACCTGGCAGGATAGAAGAAGGCCTCACCTTGGGCACTTTTAAGACCTGTGGACTTCAACTTCCAGAATTCCCCAGCCTGCATGGCTGGCTGGGGAATTCTGGGAGTTGAAGTCCACAGGTCTTAAAAGTGCCCACGGTTGGACAACCCTAGCCTATATGGATGAAGGATCAGAGGGGAACAATAGTGACAGCACGATTAAATTGGATTGAGGCACGCACAGAAGTGTTGCTTGGCAACCCATTCCTCTATGGGCATATGTGCAATCACTGGATTAATATTAGGACTTAAGTATCAACTGAGATTAACGGTGGGCATATGCAGGTTTGGGGAGTTGCTTAGATGCCTGCTTCCTGCGCCATGCATCTTGTAAACAGTGTCAGACAGTCAAGCACTTGAAGGAATTTCACATCCTTCTTCCAAGCATGGAGTTTCGTATCCTGTTCTCACCACCACCAAGCTCAGCAGAATTTGCCATCAAGGCCGAACAAAGGACCTGCCCTTAAAAGGAGCTTAGAAAAGTGCATTTTGGCCCCAGGGCTTCACCTGCCACTTCATGATACCTTGAGGCTTTAAATGTAGGCTAGACATGATGCAACGATTCCTATGAAACAGTTCGCCTTCTAATCAAGGCTAGGGAAGGTAGCTTTTCAGGTGGCGGAGCCACCATGATCTGGAAGAACTAGCAATTATAACTAAATTAAAATTTAAAAAAAAAATTAAAGAGAAATTTCCTGACAATGTTGAGAGGCGTGGCTTGCAGCGTTCTTCTCACAGAAGATAAAGTGGTGGAAACTTTCAGAAGTTGTAAACTGGTTCGCCATGATTGTCAGTAACCTTTTGACGAAGTACGGGCAAGATTGAACAAAGAAGCCAACATCGATTCAATGCTACAAAGCTTTTCTCGACTTGGCTAACAGGATGGGTTATATACCCTGATCCCTTGGCAGGCAACCAGCTGGCGAGTCTGTCCTAAAACATAATGAACTGAACAACCCAATACTTTACGATCGACGTTGAAAATAAATGGAAGGTGACGAAAAGGCATAAACATACTGTATATTAGTGACAGAGCAGATGGAAAGGTTTTGTGCAGATTCCATGTTTTGTTTTCTTGGGCCCCACAGGCCAAAGGTCTTAGAATCAGGAACAATACCATTTGCTCAAGGAGTCTTCAAGTGGTGCTCCACATTCCGGTCGGAGAAGGCTTGGTTTGAAATCAGGACGTTGAAACCTATAGTCCTGATATTTCAGCTGGGAGGTTTGGCACAGATCTCAAGGTTTTGCATTCAAGGCATTCTATGAAACCACCGACAGGTAAAGGTCCAATTTATCGTCTAATCATACATTCAACAGACAGGAACTCTGGGTTGGAATAGGACGAGGCCAGCTGAAACCAGGTTGCATTCCTATAAAACAGGAATTCAAGTTTGGCAACTTGTGGACTTCCAATTCCCAGTATTCCCCAAGCAGCATGGCTGGCTGGAGAATTCTTGGGAGTTGAAGTCCACAGATCTTAAAATTGGCAAAAGCTGGACATCCCTGTTGTAAAAAGACTCGGGTTATTTTATTACTGGACTGCTATTGATCAGATGACTACAAGGTCTTATTGGGTAGCTACAAAAACCAAATGGCAGCCTTGAAAACATTGGTCTTCTCCAATCCCAGGTAATTTTAGGTGTTGTTTCTTCAAAGGACTTCTCAGAATTTATGGGTGCTTGCTGCAGATCTGAGTAATGCCCTATTTTTTCTCCTTCTTTTGAGCTTTATGCAAGCAGACATGACCAAAGGATTAGGATACAGAATTGATGTCACCAGGAGAAACGCCAGGAAAAAAAATAGATGTCCATACTGTATCAACTGTACCTCTGGATTTGGGGAGAGATGCTGTTGAGACAAACATAAATGACACCCCAATGGCAATATGTGCAATGGCAAAAATAGTGGGATTAGTCCCTCATTTCAAAAAAAAACAAACGGGTTGTTAGAGAACTACTCCAGATCTCAAAAGTGAAAGGCATCTGGCTAAAATAGTTCCTATCTGAAAAACTGGCCTTTGACCAATACTGGGCAGTATTGAAGACACAGCTACTGCAATTGATCTGGAACTCCAGATTAAAATATAATGTGAAAATCATTGAAAACGGAGCTCTCGTTATCCTCTTAGTCTTCATCTCATCAAGTAGGAACCCAACGCATGCGCTCATCTCACTTCAGAAAACTTGGTTAAAGCTCCTGCGTTGTCTTCCAGAACCGTTTACATCTGGGCTGGTGAGGCCAATCTAAGGTTAAACCCATGCCTGTCTGGGTCAAACACCCTTCGCAGGGGCTTCGCAGTTCCCAGGTTCATATTAGCAGCAGCAACCCAGCGTTGGGGACCTTTTGGCTAGGACATCCTAAGGTCCTCTCCTTGACGTTCTAGCTCAATAAACATAGGACGAGGAACGTTCTCTGCATCCTAGAGAAGCGGCACACGGCCTTCATACAGATGGGCACCGAAGAGACGTGCCCCTAGGGCATATTGTCAGGCCCGTTACCAGTGTTGCCCTAGGAAACAAGTAACCCTTAACTGACAAAAAAACATTTCCAAGAAGATTCAATTCGCTGGAAAAAAAAGAAAAAAGAAAGAAACAGCAGCAGCTTTAAAAATAGAGGTCCAAAACATTCTTTTGTGCTTCCCCGTTGGGGGAAAAAAAAAAAAAAAAGCATTTAAACGTCTTGGGCGGAAAAGGTGGAACTCTACTGTGTCATGAGCCGAAAAGAACCTTTTTAACGTAGGATATGGTTAAGTTATTATACAGCATCTCGATATGTTCACTTCCCGGCAGCTCGTAAAGCACCACCTTTTGTTCCTGCTGACCTATCCACTTCTGGCACTGCAAGGCGCTTTCTAAGTTCACCGTCCCATCCCCGTTACCGTAAAAGATCTTCGGCTCTTTATCTGGAAAGCTGTCGTAGAAAAATGAATCCGGGGTATTCACCCCGGTGCCGTAAAGGCAGTGTGTGCGTACGCCCGGAGGTGCCATGCTGTAAATCAAAGCTTCCGTTGCTTTTCTCATAAGCCAACCATCTTCAAAATTGATGTCCGCGTAGAACTTCTGGAAATCCCGAATCGTATAGTTGGCGGAAGGCGTGCTGACGAAGATCTTTTCCGGAGACCAGGTGTAATTGTAAGGGAGCATCCAGCTGGTGGAAACAGCCGACCTCTGCTGATCCCTGATCTTGAAGGAGCTGATCACGGGAATCCGGTTGTTGTCCCCTGTGACATTAAAGCAAGGGCTTGTTAGGAGTGCGGTGGATCATAGACACGTCAGTTCCAGTTTAAGCAACAACAACCACAACAAAAAGCACGACTTGGAACTTAGCGCATTTTCTAAGAAATTACATAAGGATCCTTTCCCTCATCAAATGATGTGGAGTGGAGCCATATTGCAAAAGTTTGATATTATAACAGCTTGAAGCACAGTAAGAAAAGCTGCTGTCCTTCAAAAACAATCAATGAGAAGGACTAGGTGTGATAGCAGGATTCCAGTATTTGAGGGCCTGCCACAAAGAAGAGGGAGTCAAGCTATTCTCCAAAGCACCTGAAGGCAGGACAAGAAACAATGGATGCAAACTAATCAAGGAGAGAAGCAACCTGGAATTAAGGAGAAACTTCGTAACAGTGAGGACAATCAATCAGTGAAACGGCTGGCCTTCATAAGCTGTGGGTGCTTCATCCCTGGAGGTTTTAAAGAAGAGACTGGACAGCCACTTGTCTGTTTTGGTTTAGGATCTCACGCTTGAGCAAGGGGCTGGACTAGAAAACCCTCAAGGTCCCTTCCAGCTCTATTTTGATTCAGATTTCTTGATGCTTTTAAGCATGAGCAGCAGTGTGAACCAACCAGAAGTATGTGAATGCCTGAATCACTTGGAAGGACTTGGGTAGCCTCTTGTCGGACTAGCAAATTAAAAGGCAGAGGTTCTTGGGAGCTGTAGCTCCTGATGATTGGCCCAAAGCCATCCAATTGGTTTTCATGCCTAAGGTGGCATCTCCAGGTGATTGGCCCAAAGGCAACGCAGCCAGCCTTTTTCAAGGCAGGACTAGAACTCCCAGTCTCCAGGTGATTGGCCTAAAGACTCCCAATTCCTAACCTGGTGCCTTCACCACTAGACCAAACTGAATACGAGAATTACAGCATTCCCCAGGTCACTCTCTGAGGATCAAATTATGCTGGGCATGTCCAGCTGTACCACAGTGCCCCATATCCCTCCAAACCCACCTACCCGATGCCAGCACTCGGAAAGCTTTAGCTACTCCTCCCCACGGAGCCCCCAAGGACACAAAGTCTCGGATGTATTTGTCTTTCCATTCCTGGGGCTGATGGCTGAGGAAGTACAGAGAATACATGTTCCCCATGCTGTGGGCAATCAGGACCACCGGTTCGCCATACTCTTCGTACATGATCTCGATCAGCTTCTGGAGCGCTTCAAAATAGTCTCCATTCTCATCTGCAAGGATGAAGACACAGGAGTTATCCAACGGAAAGAAGGAAGTCATTACCTTTGTTTGGTTGAGAAACCTCTGTTGACCTGTCAACAGATTGCAAACTTTCAGACTGACTATTGAACAAACTGAAACTGCTAGGGGGGGAAATGCAAGAATTATTAATAGAGCAGTGATTTGTTTCAAATAGCCTTACACGTTAACAAACAGGCTCTTCCCAAGGAAATGTAAGAAAGGTTTAACTAATCAATCAATCAATCACAAACACTTCCAGGAATATTGCTCAAGTTCTGAATTGGCTATTTGCTAAGTAATTCCTTTTAATTAGGGAGATTTTACCTGGGATTCAAGGTATCCCATTTAATTATCATTCTAAGAAATGTGTTAAAAGTTTAGATCCCCTCAATCAGGGATGTCCAACCTTGGCAACTTTTAAGTCTCGTGGACTTCAACTCCCAGAATTCTCCAGCCAGCATGGGGAATTCTGGGACCACGTTGGCTGGGGAATTCTGGGAGTTGAAGTCCACAGGTTTTAAAGTTGCCATGGCTGGACACCCCTGTCCTAAATGAAGGAATCCTTTGCTCCTTTCTCACACTTTTTTAAGAACAAGAATATTTGTAGGGTTGATCCCATGATCAGAGAGTAAGATATTGTAACTGCAACTGATATAATAACTGCAACACACCCAGAAAACATGTATATTTACACAATGACTTTATAAAGGATATGCACTCTAGCACATTTTTAGGAAGGCCCTAAAGTTAATCTTGATTTCAACAATATTTACGAAACTATGAAGACATACTTGCATTTCACCTTCTGATATAATCACAGAATGAGTCTGGTTAAGACTTCAGTGCTTTGCTTATTTTCTCACGCTCCTTCAGTGAATAACAATCACAGAAGTGAAATCTGACAGTTCTGATAAAAACTAATTTTAAAAATTAATGCACTCTTTTTTAGAACTGCGAAGTTTTTATTCTTTACATGACTGCCTTTAACTAAGTTAGTATTAAAGCCCAAACATTTGAGTTCAGTGTTGAATGTCTATTTTAAAAAGAATGATATTTATATACCTTGTAGATAACTTATTTAGTTTTGTGTTTAAAAATCCCTTTGTCCTTGCTTATTGGACAAAGGTCTTCAAACTTGGCAAGTTTAAGACTGGTGGACTTCAACTCCCAGAATTTTTGAGCTAACATGACTGGAGAAGGAATTCTGGGAGTTGTAGTCCACAAGTCTTAAAGCTGTCAAGTTTGAAGACCCCCTGTTATCGAGTGATATTTTTAAAGCAGAAATGTTTAATCTTTGTCATTGTTTTTATTATTTCTATTATTCCAATGTGCTTGCTTAAAACTGTAACAATTTACACCAAAAAAGCTGACAAGAGTTTTGTCAGTTTTCTAAAAGTTTCTGCCTGGAGTTCATCAAACCAAGTAAAAATTCATGTAGCAAGTTAAATATATTCTGGGCTTGGTTTAAAAAAAAAGGTTGGTCTTTCAAATAAGGAGAAACCAGGTTCTATCATCTGGCATAAACAAACAGCAAAAAACAGGACTTGGTTCAAACACCATTATACACTTGCAATCTCCATATGTGAGATCAGCAGCAGACTGGGTAAAATACAGAGGGAACATTATTTTCCACTGTTGGGGTGATTTTTTTTTCCAGCTGTTTTTATCAGTCTCTCTCTCTCTCTTTCTGGCTTTTTTGCAGCATTCGATTGGTGAAGTGAGAAGATTGATTGGCAAACAGCCTCGTGACATTCGGTTGCATCAGAGGGTAAACAGCTCAAGAATGTTTGCATGCCGTTCTTAGGATCTCAAATTCCTAAGCTTGTTTAAGTACAGGTTAGGTGAAACCTGGCTCAAAAGCAGTAACTGTGAGAGGGACCTTGGAGTCTTAGTGGACGATCACTTAAACATGAGTCAGCAGTGTGTGGTGGCGGCCAAAAAAAGCCAATACAACCCTTGGTTGTATAAAAAGTGGCATCAAGATCACGGGAAGTATCAGTACCGCTTTATAAAGCCTTAGTAAGGCCTCACCTGGACTACTGCATCCAGTTTTGGTCACCACATTACAAACAAAGATGTTGAGACTTTGGAAAAATGGCAAAGAAGAGAAACTAAGATGATTAAAGGCCTGGAGACGAAAACATATGAAGAACGGTTGAAGGATTTGGGCTTGGCTACTCTAGAGAAAAGGACTAGGGGGGACATGGTAGCAGTATTCCAATATTTGAGAGGCTGCTACAAAGAAGAGGGGGTCAATTTATTTTTCAAGGCACCAGAAGGCCGACAAGAAGCAATGGATAGAAACTAATCAAGGAGAGAAGCAACCTTGAATTAAGGAGAAACTTCCTAAAAGTGAAGGCTATTAACCAGTGGAATAGCTTGCCACCAGAAGTTGTAGATGCTCCAACACTAGAGGTTTTGAAGAAGAGATTGAATAAACATTTGTCTCAAATAGTATAAGGGGGTTAGACTATAAGATCTCCAAGGTCCAGTTTGGGAGGGAAACATGGGACATTTATCAACCAAGCATCAGGTTGCCCAATTGTAATTTTTAACTTTTTATTCCGTTTTGTTTTATTTTACTTGCACTTTTTAAAATGTTTATTGCTTATTTAGAAAATTTACATAGCCATTTACTCACCCACAGTGACTCTAGGCACTTGCAAACAATAACAAGAAGAAGAAGAAGAAGAAGAAGAAGAAGAAGAAGAAGAAGAAGAAGAAGAAGAAGAAGAAGAAGAAGAAGAAGAAGAAGAAGAA